ACTGACATGAACTCAGGAGATAATTGCCTAAAACTGACAGGTTGGGAAACAGCAGTCTAACCTTGTAATTCAGAAAAATAAAGATAAATACGAGAAAGAGAAGCTAAAGAAGTGAGAGGGGTTTTGTCTAGGGAGTGGCCCTGGGTGGGATGGGAGAGAGGGGAGCAGGGGCCTGCTGTCCTGCCTCCTGCTCTCTCAGTGATCTTGGACGCGCGAACTCTGCACTCTGGGACTCAGTTTCCCTCTTTGGATCATGATGGTGCCATGTAAGTGTCTGTCCAGCCCTGCGGTGTAGGGCTCTAGGCATGAGAGTTTATGTGGATGGACACATGGTGGGTATTAGGCGTGAGAACCAATGTATTTTTCATGATCATAATACGCTGAGCATCACACAGAATCAGGCCATCCCAGCACCAGCACACATCTCAACATGGTGCTCAAACGCCCACAGGTGTGTGGTCATCCCAGGGCAGCCTCAGCCCTTCCCCGACTCGGCCAGAGAAAGCTCTGCCCACCTGCTCCCGGGCCACAGGAAGTGACATCACAGTCACTGCTGGAGCCGCGGAACACGCTGGGCGCATGCAGACGCTGCTCTTTGTCACAGATACAGCCAACCATCCCAGGGGGGGACATCTCTACCTCTGCCGTCCCAGCACCCTCTTCAACCTCCTCCACGCGAGACCCCGAGTTCCACCCCCACAAACAGGCCTCATTAGACCCCATCTTGTGAACAGGACACGCACATACGTGTTGAACGGACGAATTCCACATCAGTTAGCTGCCTGTTCGCTGAACGTCTTTCCTGGACTCCAGGATTGAAGGAATTAGGACAATGAAGAGCCACAAAGCAGGAGGAAACCATCATGCAGGCTCCACTCAAAGAGAACAAGGCTCAAAGAGAACACCAACTTCCTTGCATAGGCTTCCTCTAGAAACAAAACTATTGTGGGACAATGAGGGAAGTGCTCCCCATGCGGAGAACCTTTCTATAGGTCTCCCTGGAGATGTTCTGGGGCCTGGTACCCAGCGAGGCCGCCTGCAGCCACGTGGCCACTGGCCCTCTCCATCTTTCACAAGGCAGGAGGGATGGGAAGTGCTGGCAGGTGTTGGCATCCTGCAGATGCTGGTTATCTTCCAGACCAGCTTCTCAGGTATTCTCTCTTTCCATCCTGACAATGACCCTGTGAAGTGGGAACGGTTACGCTGGTTTACAAATGAGGACACGAAACCTCGCAAAGCTCCTTTTTCTTCCCTGAGGTCACCTGGCTAGTGAGGGTCGCAGATGGGGATTCAACCCAAAGACCAGGTCACAGAAAAGTGCATCCTTCTTCCTTCTGGACCGACTTGCACGAAAGTTACTTCACCCAGTTGTTGACCTGGCCGAGGAGGGACAGGCGCTGTCAGACCCCAGGAGGAATGTTAGGTGCCCTCTGGTGCCCATATCCCTGTGAAGACCCGGCCAGTTTCCAGGCTGGGGAGTGGACAGGGGGACACAGTGCTCTGTGGGTCAAGGGCACCGTGTGGAGAGAGGAACACGAGAGGGGGATTGGGGCAACCGTGTTCCTCCCACAAATGGGCAACTGAGTCACATCATAGGAACTCTGTTCCCTGCCAAACAGGTCTCTCTCTCTCTCTCTCTTTTTTCTGTTTCTGTGTATTTTAAATGCATTTAAATGAAGCGATTATTTAACGATTTTTGTGGGTTTCCTGGTATTTGTTTTGGGATTTGTTTTTGTTTTGTTTTGTTTTTTATTTTGTTTTTTGGTTGACAGTGTTGAATCATCGAAATATCGTAAAGCATTTTTCTGGCTCACTAATTGATACAGTCCTGCCTAATTGCCTGCTGCTTCGTTTCTTCTCTGTGAAAATGACACAGGTTTTCTGGGTTTTTGCTTCCAAAAAACAAACGGTGCTGCTTCACTACCCCGCCCCCAATCTGTGCCTCCCTTGGGATGGCGGCACACACCACAGATTCCGCAGATCACTGGTCCTGGCAGGGGTGGGAGGAGCTGGGCAGGATGGGGAAGGGAGGAGCCACAGGGGTGCCAAGAGAGACCCCACATTCCCGAGGCCCCCTCCCTAGCACCCCTGCCTGCAAACACCTGACAATCTACCAACAGCCTCAGCAGGTGTATGCCCTGAGTTACCAAGGATTTCTGAAGCTGGTGGAAGCTCGGAGGCCCTGTCTGTGGCCATGGAGACCCCATAGAGCCCCTGCCTGTAGCCCTATTTCTCCAGCAAGAGACTGCAGCCTTAACCAGCTGGCCTCGCCCATCCACAGAACTGTGCTCCACGGGCACCTGCAGCAGGTGAGGCCACGCCTGATGCTTGCACGTTCACCCTTCCCAGCGTCCTGCATTTCTGGCCCCTAACTTTGACCTCGTCTCTGGTCCCATCAGCTCACTTTGGATCACAGGACTGACCTTGTCTTCCAGCCGCACACAGGGAGCGGGGAGCAGGCTGGTCTCAGCCTCTGTCTGCCTGGAGGGACCCCGAGCCCATCCAGTCTGGCCCTGCCGCTTCCAGGGTTACCCAGGTCCCAGGATGGGAAATCAAAGCCCAGCCGTGCTTGACAACATTAGGACCTCAAAGCAGAGAAAAACAAACAGGTCAGGATTGTCTGCCTGGCTCCCTGCCTCCAGCTTTCTCTCTCCACTGGGGCCGAGGGCTCTGCCTCCGAGCTCAGGGAAGTTCTCCTCGGACATCACGTTTCCCTGGAGGGTTGGGGGATGGAGGATTTCTGTAACTGGCTGACGGGGATAACCGATCTGTCCAGTGATGGGGAAATGGGACACAAGCGTAGGGTCTGGGGTCCAGGCCTTTCCAGTGGGCCTCGTCCTCTGCCCTGCGAGCTCCTGCTATACCTGCAAGATAGATCCACTCTACAAAAGCTGATCCACATGGTCATTGCAGTCCCGCCCAGTACATGCCCTGGGAGAAATTAGGTCCCGCCCAGCCTTGCCCGCTGGCCATCCCTCCACCTGCTCTCAGGTCCCAGGAGTCCAGGTGGGAGAGAAGGGTGCAAGAGGCAGCAAAAGCCTCCCAAGCAGCTGCTGAGGCTCTGATGTTGGAGCAACTTCTGGCAGAGTAAGGCGCTGCCTCTTCCCAGCAGTTGCCGGTGGGGGGTGGGGGCGTCACTATGAATTCTGTCTCTCCCTGAGCCTCCCGTTTATAGCCCCTCCCCATCAGGCCTGGGATTGGGGGTGTGGATACATTTTTCTGAGCACACCTCTGCCTTTTCCACAGAACCTCTCCAAAACCAGAGGCTGGTCCAGAGCCAACATTATGATCCTGGTCTCCTGTATTACAAAAGGGAAATACTAAGGCCCTAATGAGAGGAAAGTGGAGTCCGAGGTCCCAGTGTGAGTCAACAGCAGAGCAGAGACCAGACCCAGGAACCACACTGCTAGGCCGGTGCTATGAAAAATCCAGACTCAGGCAAAAGAAAGCTCAACATCCTGATGTCCCTCTGTAGACGGGAGACGCCTGTGGAAAGGGAGAGGGTCAGCTGACACACCCTCAACATCCTGATGTCGCTCTATAGACAGGAGACGCCTGTGGAAATGGAGAGGGTCAGCTGGTAGACCTGGTTTGTCAAGAGTACTTGTGAAAAGGGTCGGGGTCTTGGTTGACTGGAAGGGTCTGAGTCCACCCTGTGATTTACCTGCTACAAAGTCACTCAACAAATGTGGCAGCCAAGGGTTCACCCACTAGCTAATGTGACACATGTATGTCACACGTGTGTGTCACACACACACACACACACTTGTACATTTAGCTTAATACACTTTTTTTTTAAAGACTTTATTTTTTCCTTTTTCTCCCCAACACCCCCCAGTACATAGTTGTATATTCTTCGTTGTGGGTCCTTCTAGTTGTGGCATGTGGGATGCTGCCCCAGCGTGGTTTGATGAGCAGTGCCATGTCCGCGCCCAGGATTCCAACCAACGAAACACTGGGCCGCCTGCAGCGGAGCGCACGAATTTAACCACTCGGCCACGGGGCCAGCCCCAGGCTTAATAAATTTTGATGCCAGAGTAAGGGAGATGTCCGTCCTTCCTGACCAGACCCCATGCAGTGAGTTGTATTCACTTTAAGAGGAAAGCTGACAAACTAGAGCATTCTCCAAGAAAAGCACCCAAGAAGTCAAGCTAACTCAAAATAACAATGTGAGGAGCTGTGTTTCAAAGCCCAGGAGAAGCTTAGTTTACAGAAGAGAAGACTCAACGCATACTGCATCTGACCCCAAATTGCTGAAAAATAATGTGAAAAGGAGAATAGAATCATTATGGGTCATTTTAGGGAGCAAAGCTGGGTCTGAACCCAGACACCAGCAAGTCCACCCGTCATCCTCCATCCCCTGAGACCCACTCTGAGAAGGCACCCTCCTTCCATCACTCTAGTCCCAGAGTTTTCCAAAACTCAGATCTGACCAGACAGCACCCCTTCGGTGGGTCTGAGAAACTGTCACAGCCAAGGGGAGCCTAAGGCTACACGACAACTAAATGTAATATGGCATCTCCGATGGGACCCTGCAACAGAAAAACAACGTTAGGTAAAAACTCAGGGAGCCTGAATAAAGTATGGACTTTAGTTAATAACAGTGTATCAACATGGGTGCATTCATTGTGACATACATACCGTACTGGTGTAAGATGTTAATAATAGGGGAAACTGGGTGTGGGGTACACAGGAATTCTCTGTTCTATCTTGGCAATTTTTCTGTAAATCTAAAAACTATTTTAAAATAAAAAGTTATTACATTAAAAAGAATCTAATGGGGGCCCGGCCTGGTGGCACAGCAGTTAAGTTCGCACGTTCTGCTTCAGCGGCCCAGGGTTCACCAGTTCAGATCCCAGGTGCAGACATGGCACCGTTTGGCACGCCATGCTGTGGTGGGTGTCCCACATATAAAGTAGAGGAAGATGGGCACAGATGTTAGCTCAGGGCCAGTCTTCCTCAGCAAAAAGAGGGGGATTGGCAGCAGATGTTAGCTCAGGGCTAATCTTCCTCAGAAAAAAAAGAGAATTAATTAAAAACGAAAAAGAATCTAATGGAAGAAAAAAAGTCTTTGGGGGTTGCCTAACACTTCTAAATCCAAGCCCCTTATCTTGAAACCGCAGCCCTTGGTGATCAGGCCTTCCTGGGGAGACAGAACCCAGTGACCAGGGCAGCAAGAATGGAGACACATGGGAATCCCACTTCCTTTCACTTACCCGGGCGACAGAACAGAATTTCTGGTGGAACCCTATTCTGAGAAATGGCTCAGGCTTGGGAACGGCCATGGTTTTGATGGGCAAAATATTCTCCAAGCCTTCCCAAAAGGAGCCTTGGCATGCCTTGGGGACATGTAGTCACAGATGGAGGGAGCCTTGCTGCTCTGCTCCCTAAGCTTGAGACCTAGGGAGGCACAGCAGCCCAGGCAGGAGCCCCAACATTGGCCTAATAGGGGGCCCCCCGCCAACAAGAGCATCGAGATATGGTTACTCGTGGTTGAGTCAGATGTTAATGGCCCACCTGGATCAGACGCTGTTCCCCACCGCTGTAGCCACAGATCATTCTCAGATGTCACCCTCAATCCGTGGACTTGACCAAGCACAGGACAACGGCCCCATGGGTCCTTGCCCGAGCTTTCTCCTCTCAGGTCAAGTTCCCAGACTTCAGTCCAAACTGACTCAAAGATTGCCACAATTTTATAAGGGAGGGCTAGAATGGAATAGACGACTTCTGAGAACATTTCCAGCTTTAAAAACTTCTCTGAATTTCTCCAAAAGTCTGCACAGCTGGACTCGTAAATCCCCCTCTGCTTCTTCCTCCACACTCCTTATTTTCAATTCCTCTGCAGTCCTGCTGGAAACAGATGAAATCCCCTACAAGCCTCCAGCTTTCTTTCCACCCAGACCCCCTGAGAAGAGAATGTCTGTGCTTGAAAACCCAGTGTGGGCTACACGGGAAACGCCAGGTGGCCACACAGAGAAGCTACTTTGCCAGTTACATTTCCCTCCACATCCCCCTCACTCATCTTTTGTCCAAGAGCAGAGAGAGGATTGAGAATGAAGAGGATTCCATCAAGTCAGGCAAAATTAATTAGCTTCAATCTCAACGCTGAGCTGCCAGGTCAATTTCACAGCGTAATCACTTGGAGCTCCTGCATTAACGGGACAATGTTGCCGCATAAGCATTCAATATCCCATTTTTGGCCGTGCATGGGCAAGCCTAAGAATTAGGTACGAGCCCAGCTGCCCTCCTTGCTTTGGATCTGGGGATAATCAAATTTTGTAGAATGTTTCTCATAGAGAAACACAATAGCTGCTGTCCGTATATTTTCCTCCTCCCACACTCACCTCCCCAGCTCTGGGAAGAAGTTGAACTCCTCCGTCTGGGCCTGTGGGCAAGGCTGGCAGGTAAATTTCCTCCTTTGAGAAGGTGGCACCGTAGAGCAGAAAGCACGTGCGAGTCCCCATTCTGCTCTTAACCAACTACGTAATTTCGGGCATTTTTGCTCCACCTCTCTGGGTCTCAGTTTCCTGTCCTGTAAAACAGAAGAGCAATAGCACAGCCCTGGGTGCCCCCAGGCCTGAGAGGAGAATCAGACCAGATTACGGAGTATTATTTACACTTTGCTAACTGGACAGTGCTCTGGTCACAGAGGATCATTAGCCAGAAAACAGCAGGAAACTGGAGACTCAGCTGTTTATGCATCAGCACTGGCCCACCCATGCTGCACGGCGCCTCCCAGCCTGAGACGCGGCTGGTGGCCACCGACGTGGGTGGGGGGTTTCTCCCCAATTGCTCACAGCTGATGTTCAAGGAAGGCCCCGCCCCGTTATTCCTCCGAAACAGTTAATGTGTCTGCTGTTGGGCCTTCAGCAAAACATCAGTATGTAGTTTATCTCCAATGGCTTAAGGGAAGAAACACAGCAATCCCATAATTAACCAATGAGGCTGACAAGACAGCTCGCACATTCGCCTGGACAGCCTCGAGGAATCAGCTCAGAGCAACCCCAGGATCTGGTCAGAGATGTACACAGGGGTGAAGCAGACAAGCTTCGGGGCCAGGCTGGCTGGAGTTTGAACCTTGTCTCCACTGAGGACCCTTCACTGCTCCCTCCGTCCCCAGCGTCCACAGTGAAACCGTGGTGCTTCGTGCTTAACTGCAAAGGCTCTGAGTCAGACACAAGTGGAGCCTCTGCAGCTTCACCCTTCTGAAGTTTCTCCCCCTTGAAGTGGGAATGATAATATCCACCTCATTGGGTTGTTGAGATGCCCCTAAGGCAGCTCCTAGCATGTCGTTAATGCCCGGTATGGCACTATATGGCGACCACGTGCTGTGGACCCAACTGCAGCTTATTGACGGGCTGACATCCATTTAAGAAAACTGAAGACACAGGAAGGAAAACGTGAGGGGACTGGGGGATTGCAGTATGTGGATTACACTTAATGGCCCCAAAAGCATAGAAGGAAATGAGGCTTGGACCCCCATGGGAGCCTCTCACTATGAGGGGCAGCAGGGTGAACTGGAACAGGGACACACATGACCCTCCTCAGCATGGCTCACCAGCCTGAAGACCTCCTCCACCACCTGTGCCTGACTGGAAAGCCCTGGCCCCTGGGAGGCCCTCCCTGTCTCAACGAAATCTTCTCTGAGACCAGGGGAGGCCCTCGGTCTGCCCTTGCCGCTGCCTAGCTCAATTCTGCATCTGCTTCCACACGGCAGCCCTGGAGAAGACACCTCGTCTCCACTGAGGACCCCTCATTGCTCCCTCCATCCCCAGTGTCCACACTGAAGCCGTGTCGCCTTGTGCTAACTGCAAAGGCTCTGAGTAGGACACACGTGGAGTAAATCTGGTTTGGACCTAGTCCAGTTACTTCACCCTCTTAAGACTGAATGCCTGTTCTGTAATATGGAGAATTTAATGAAGACACCTAGTAGGGTCTTGTGGGTCATGTGACCACCAGTCTTAACTCATATTAAGCACTTACTAAATGTTAGTGATTTTTATAAAATGGAGAATTTACAGAAGATAGCTCATAGAGTTTTGTGCACAATGCAAGCACATCTTAATGCACATTAAGCATTCCTTTAAATACTAGTAATTATTAGTCATTATTCTTGCTTCAAACCCTTGTATTTATGATTCTAACACCCTTAACTATTCTGGCATGTGTATATATATCTCAGAGGCTCTCTGAAACAGTCTCGTTTCCTCCTACCTCACTGGCTGACACCGCTCACCGTCCTTTGTTAATTCAGGCTCTTCAGATGCCTCCAAATGGTGGGCCCCAAGCTTTGTCCTAGGCCCTCAAACCTCCTCTGTACACTCCTGGCTTTTAGTAACATCCCGATGCCTGAGCCCTCCAAGCATTTTAGCTCTGGCTGGGATACTTCCACTGACCTCCAGACTCGTACATCCAACTGTTCGCTTCACATTTCCGCTTGGAACTTGTGCAGTAAAGAATTCACCTGCACCCCAGAACAGGCCTAGTACTTGCCCTTGGCTTCTGGGAGGTGGTCTCTGAGCCCTCGGAATGCCATGCCTCATAGGAGTGTCTTTGTTTGCCAGAGAGCCTTGGGTGACCCCAAACAGTCTAACAATGCGATTGAGGGTGGGGGGTTTGAGTTACGTGCCACCAGCACAACCAGAGAGACTGGAAACTAAGGTCAGCCCCGTGAGCAATGAGCCATGCCTACGGGATGGAGTCCCAATAAAAACTCTCAACACCAAGGCTCGCCCGAGCTGCCCTGGTTGGCGACACTCCATGCATATCGTCACAGCTTGATCCCAGGAGACTAACGCTGTCCTGGCTCCACAGGGAGAGGACGATGGAAGCTCCCTCTTGGGTACTTCTGGACTCTACTGTGGCCTCTTCTGTTAGCTTATTTTAATCTGTACTCTTTCCTTGTAATAAACCAAAAACATGAATGTAACAACTTTCAGTGTTTCTGCGAGTCCTTCTAGTGAATTAGCAAGCATGAAGATGGTTTTAAAAGTCCCCAAACTTGCAGTTGGTGTCAGAAGTGAAGGTGGTCCTCCCAACTGTGTGCCTTCTAACTTGGTGGTGGGCAAACTCTTGTGGATATCTAAAAGGCATCTCAAACCTAAAGTCTCCGAAACAGGAATCTTGATCAGCCCTTCCAAAAAAATAAACTAACAGTATTTTTTATATCTTCAAAACATGGTTTCTCCTTGCTCACTTCCATCAAACCAGTGGAAGGAAAATAGGCATGGTGGATTTTTACAGGCCGGGACTGGAAGTGGCAAGAATTCCTTGCACTCACATTCCATTGGCTGAAACTTAACCGGATAGTCACACCTAACAGCAACGGTGGCTAGAAAATATATAAGACTTGGGTGCCCAGAAGTAGAAAGGTCTTGGTGAATAGATAGCCACCCCTGCCGTGCTTCCCATCCATCTAGGCCTAAAGCTCGATTCCTTATTTCTGTTTATTCCTGCCTCAGGTTTTCCACTGCTGTTCCCTTTGCCTGGATCTCTGCATGGCTGGCTTCTCATCATTCAGCCCTCAGCTCAACTGTCACCTCCTCAAAGAGGGCTTTCCTGGCTGCCCAATCTCAGCGGCCTCCGCTCCCCAGTTACTTTCTGACATACCCTGGTTCAATTTCCTCGTGCCATTACGTCAGCATCTGAACCTGCCTTGTTGTTTCTGCACTTATTTATCACCGGCCTCTAGGTTAGGTTAGGAAATCTCTGAGTGCCTGACACTGACAGATCCTCACTAACACTTTTGAATGAATGCTTTTCTATAGACGCTCTGATTGACCAAACGTCGTCTGAACAGTGCCAGCCAGCCCTCCGGATGAGATCTCCATGGAGCAAACACGCCCATCTTTTCTCTGGGTCTGTTTTTCCTGGGAGAGCCCATGCTCGCCTGCGCATTGAGACTGAGACCCTCCAGCCTCTTTCAGGCAGGGCCTAAAGCTCTGCCTTGTCTGACTCTCCTTGTCTAGTTGCTGTTCTGGACCTGCTGGCGAACCCGGGAGTCCTTCCTGTTAAGACTTAATTTTATCTAAATGACAGAGTTTCTCTCTGAGGGTCTATTCAATGACCTACTCTATTGGTCCTCCCACCCAAATTGGGTCAGTCCATGAATTGGTCCTCCCCACCCCACACAGAGAATGGGAAGCAAAATCCTGTTCTTTCAGCTCCTTCTGTCAGCCTTGCCCCACACAACAGGCAGACCCTGTCCTTGTTCAAGTAACTCCAGAGAGACCTGAACAGGCCCTGAGCCCACCTGTTCTTGGCATCCATGGCGAGTCTCAGATTCCTAGGGCACTTGTTCTCCTGGATGCTGCCTGGCAAGGCCGGTGCCCCACCACAGGCTCCTCCTCCACCTTTTCTACTGGTGCCAGTCACTGGGCTTTGCCTCAAACACACGGCTCTTTCACCTGCCAGCTGTGTGACGCAGGGCCTCAGTTTCCTCTTCTGTGAGATGGACATCACCTCATTCGCAGGGCTGCTGTGAGGGTTAAAGAAAATAAGATGTGTCACTCACAGAGCCTGGCACGGAGCAGGACTCCAACGAGGCAAGTTCACAGCCTCAAATGGCACACCCTTCGTGGGTTTGCCAGGTCCTTCATGGTGCCAGCATCCGGCACTGTGTGTGCTGAGGATGGAGAGTTGACTGCCCCTCCCAGAGAGGTTCAGTGTTGGGCACGTCTCAACCATCGTATCATGCACTCGCCACCTCAAACAGGAGCAGAGCCCTCACGCCCTCCAGGGATGGGCTTATGGTTTATGAAAACGGCTAAAAACTAGGTTCTGTGAGCTCTCTGCCTGCACAAGGGTCAGGGGTCAGAGGTGAGAGCCAACCAGGGTGTGTAACAGACTGCCCACCCAGGAGTTCTTACTGAACTCTTCACCCCTCTGTCCTACAGGACCAACATCAGGTTCCAAAAGCTTCCATGGGGCAAGCAAGAGAACGTGCCAGCCACCCAAGACGTGGCCCTGCAGACAGGCCTGGACACAGCGTCCCCGGCAGATGGTGGACCATGCTGCAGGACCCGGATGCTTCCATTCGCTCACCACGAAGAGAGGCGAGCGGCTTCCAGACCTGCGCGCCCATCAGGCACAGCTCGAATGAAGCCAGGTCAGGACAGGAGCTGACAGCGGCCACCTCCCATCCTCCCATCTCCCACCCGCTCAGAGGCGTCCCTGCCCTGGGGAGCTGCCTTCCGGACAGCTGCAGAGAGAAGGCCTTCACAACGATGGCTCAAAGATGCTTCCTCCAGGAACAAAGGTAGCTGGGAAAGAATGCAAGACAAAAATCTTCTTTTCATTGCAGCATTTTTTTTCTTCTCCTGTAAATTGTATCTGAAAGGTCACTCTTCGCGGTCGACGGCTTTCTGAGGAACACACTTTCTTTCTGCTCCTCAGTCATGGGGTCTGCTTGTCACAAGACAGAGAGGCTGACGCGGTGGCTGCTCCTATAAAATCTTAAATTGCAACCACGTGAATTGCTATAATACAACTTCCTGGGGCTCTGAGGTTCTGGCCTTTTTAGAAATTGAATTTATTGGCCGCTCTGCTTTCAGATGCCCCTTGCCGATTCTGGCTTTTGAAAGGGGCCATAAACCCTGAGTGCAAGGCTGGTTTTCTGCAGCCTCCCGAGAGGCGGTGATCCTTGTTCATCCATCCATATGCTCATGGTGTATCCACCCACCCATCCATCCATCCACTCGGACGCTCCTCTGTTCCCACAACAGCGATGGGCTGAGGGCCAGGCTCTGTCCTGGAAAGTAGGGAGACAGCAGTAGAAGCACAGACGAGGTCCCCGGTCCCGTGGAACAGGCATCTGGGGCGGGTAGAGACAAGTAAACCAGCATAGCAGGATAATTTTTCAGGGATGTTGCTACAACCTGGTTTAGAAATAAGCGTCTTATTCCCCCAAAGAGATAAGGCTGGGTCTTCCTTTACCTGCTGGGTGAGGACAGGAAGAAGCTTTTGTTTTCAAAACTCTGGGCAAGCGGTACCACGCTGCCCACTTCAGGCCGCCCTTCAGCCCCTGTCCTCAGCCTAGCAAGGCTTTTAAAGACACAGCATCTGGGCAGGCAGGAGGCTGGCGTCCCATGTTGACGTTAACTGCTCCTGCTCTGCAGGTAGCTGGGGAGGTGCCTGTTGTCTGTGCCCAGTGAAGAGGAACTGGGCTGGCAGTCGCTTCAATCTTGGCTGCAGGTTAGAATCACTTGGAACTTTCGAAAGTCCCCATGCCCAGACTACATCCAGGTGATTAAACTGGGAAATCTGAGGTGAGAGCCGGTGGTCAGTAGTTTTTAAATCTCTGCAGGTGAATCCGATGAGAACAGCTGATCTGAGTGCTTTGCGGTGTTGAATGTGGGGGACTGGAGGAGTGAGGCCCCAGCCCCTCGGGATCAGCTGCAGGAGGTGACGGTTTGGGTGTCTGTCCCTGCTGGGAACCAGGACCTCATCGCAGAGGCCTCCCCAGTGAAGCAGGGACATGCTGGTGACTCAGCAAGGGAAAGGGCAGGGTGGCCACCATGGATCGTGACGGCCTCATGGCGTTTCTGTAAGGACAGCCCAGAAGTGGCTGGACCTGGCTTCCTCATGAGCTGAATCTCAGAGCCGGCCTTTGTGTTATTGAGAAAAGTCAGGAGATGGTCACTTTCATGCCTCGAGCGCCACATAAGTAACTCATCTTACAGGGTGACAAGTGCTGGGAGGGAGAGGCCCTGAGAGAGGGTCACCGAGCAGGCGAGTCCTTCCCTCCCTTTACTGCACCTGTCAGCCACCCACACCTGCCCTGCCAGGTCACAGCCTCTGGGCAAGGCTGGCCATGGTTCAGAGCCTTCGTCAGGGCCCCCAGCCAGAGCGACGCTTGAACCCCAAGGTGGAGGGAAGAGGTAGGTGGGACCCAGGGCTCCAGGCCACGGAGTCTTTGGACTGCTCCTTGACTCCGAGCCCCAAGGGTAGATGCCCCCCCACAGGCTCCCCTCCTCCCGCCCTCTTGTCCCCTCTTCTCCCACCCCACACTCCAGCCTCTTTCCAGTGTTAAAGCATCCAAAATGGTGGCCCAGCCACTTTTTCTCCTGCAAAGAGGCCTCTACCCCATCCCTCTGCATGTCTCCTCATGGCCGCTAAGCCCAGACCCCAATTTTCCCCCGAAGCCTATGGCTTTCAGAACCTTCCCCTGCTTACTACTGACTATTTTATAGAAATAAGAAACTGTAGACTTGGTCTCTGTTGGCACAGCCAACAGGGAATGGATGGCAGCTTTGTAAACAACTAAATCCCAGCTCTGCAGTGGGGCAAAGATTCCCACGGCCCCGTGCTGCTCAGCCTTAGCCGCTGTTGGAATCATCTGGATGGATATTTTTAAACTAAGATGCCTGGGTTCCCACCCCATAGAGATTTTGTTTCAATTAGTCTGCAAGGGGTGGGGAGGGTGGTGCGTGAAGACCGACTTTTAAGCGCCCCCAGGTGATTCTAATGTGTGACCAGGGTGAGGACCACTGCGGTGGAGCAGACCAGCATCCTTCCTGCCTTGTCATTCAGGAGAGCATCTCTGAAGGGCCATGATGGGGTGGGACATGATGAAATAAAGCCACATCATTTATTATCCTCCAGGAGGTCTGCAGGTTCCCCCCTGGTGCTCTGTCTGCCTCCAGACACACCTCCAGCTGGTTCAGGCACTGCAGGGGCTGTCCCATCTCTATGCAAATGCAGGTCCCGGGATAAATTATCTTTGCCTGGTGTACTTTTCAGTCAGCAAACCTTTTCTGAGCACACAGGGTAAGACATGCAACACGCGTACAGACCCAGCCCTAGTGCTTCCTCAGAGAGCCCCCATCCAGCTGTGGAGATGAGCCGCTGCCCATGGGCTAACCTGCACCCAGTGCCTGCAAACTCAGGATGGCCCACGGGCTTTTGGAGAAGGGGACAACAGCGTGTGCTACAGCAGAGACGGCTTCCTGGAGGAGGCAGGCCAAAGGAAGGATGGAAAGTAGACAAGGGGAAGGCCGAGGGAGTGCTCCTAAGAAGAGGCAACAGGGTCAGGAAAGCCGAGGGCAAGAGAAGGAGCCACTGTTTGAGCAGGAGACGGTGAGAGAGATGACGAGACAAAACCGTTCTGCGGTTCGTCCCTTCCCCTAACCCTTCGCTGCCGTTGACTGAGGCTGTGGTCACCTCCCCTCTGGAGTTCTGCATCTTCCTCCTCTGTCCCCGTGCATCCCTTTCAGCTGGGGGACATGGGTGGCAGAAGGACGCCCAACTGCTGAACCCTAACCCAACCATCACCACGTCACACCTGGCCAAGTTCACAAAAACTCCTTAGTATCAGTGATCTCCAGACCAGGTTCAAATGCCCGCCACCTATGTTTCCCAAACGTCCTTTTTATAGGCCATTTGTTCAAATCCAGATCCAGCGTCCACATGTTGCATTTGGTTGACCTGTCTCTTAAGTTTCTTTTCATCTAAAAGTCACATCCCCACCCCTATTTTTTAAAGCCGTTTCCGTTTTGAAGAAGTCTGGTCCTTTGTCCTCTAGACTTACCCTTATTCTGAATTTGGCTCATAAATCCTCATATCAGGTTTAATTAAAAAAAGAAAAAGGACAAAGAATCGCCAGGACAAGTGACAGAAATACTCTCTAGGTGAAGAAATAGAATAACCCCAACACCAGCTTCCTTAGGTACCCATCCTTCAGTGTGTGGTTTGAAGTGAGAGGGAAGAGTAGGATGCAATTATTCCCATCCTAAGCCCATTCATAGTTCCAGACTTCGGGAATGTGGTGAGAAAAATAACTAATGAAAAGAAAGGACACATCAGAGAGGAGGGAAATGACGCTGAGGTGTGAGCCAGCTCAGAAGAGGTGAAGAAAAATCAAAGGAGTGAAGAAGTGTTTCCAGTGGTCCTGTCCTCACTGAAACCTCTCCTGGGGAAGAGGAGAGCCTTGCTCAGCCGTAGCCAATGGCCGGCATGCCCCCTCAGGCGAAAATCCTCCAGCAGAGATGGAATCTCAGCTACATGCTGACTCATTGGACATCCTCAGGTGAATGCATGAACCACAGGTTCTGTCACCCGGGGAACACATCCTACTGCACCTGACACCAGGAGCAAATGGAGAATGGAGGACAAAGGGTTTAAAATGTGCTGAGCCAGAAGTCAATTATGAAAAAGTCTTCAAATCATCAGACGTCTACAGTTGATGGCGGAAGCCGGAATTCTCACCGACATTTAGCCAAAAAGGAAGTTCTCTCCTCTCAAGAACATACTCAAGAATGCAGTGTGTAAAGCTATAAATGCACCATGTATTTGCTGTGTGGATGGCAATTGGGCGAAATACGACTTTTTCAGATTTCCTGTTTGAAAAGCGCAATCCTGTACAATACTAGAAAACATGAGTCTGTGTCTGAAGTCATATGGTTTACACATCCCAAATATCACGAATAAAACATAAATTTTGATCAACTCTGTTAGAGGAAACAATAGCTTATCTTTTTAATCCTTTGAATGGAAAATATTCTGAAATGACGGTTATATGCAGAGATGATCAAAGAGTATGAAGCCAACAAAAGTAGGCAGATGAAGGTACTACAGAGGTGTGCAGGGTAGTTACTGAGTAGATGTGCCATCTTTCCAGGTTTGAGGATGCTTGTGGTATTGGGCAGCTTATTCAAATTTGTGTTTGGTTGTCATTTCTTTTCATACTTTAAACATTCCCTTTTGTACCTAAAAAGAAAGGGATAAAGAAGTGAAATTTATAAAATAGATGAATTAAAGAGTGATAATTAGCTTTGCACAGTTTGATTTAACAAAAAATTCTTTTAAATAGAGTGTTCTCCCAGGGCATTTTAATTATGACTTCACAGAACGTTACGGTTTGACAAGACTTTCCAGGTGATCTTCGTACCTCATTCCTCAGAGAGCCAGGAGGAATAAGGCCGAGCAAAGGAACCCAGTCCCCAGGTCACACTGAGTTAGCTCAAGGCAAGGGCAGAACTAGAGCCCGGCCCCACCCGTCCCCCTGCACAAGGCTGCCTGGGCTTTTCTGGGAAGCTGGTCCCAGCACTTACTCCAAAACACACATTGACAAATGCCCCTCTCGTCTGTGCCACACGCTCAGAGCCAGGTCCCCCGGGCCAAGCAGGCAGCAAGCTTTTCCACCAGAGCATAATTTACCCCACACGTCGCACCCTCCGTTCTGCCAGGGTCTGAGCTCCCTACCTCTCCTTCCTCTGCTGGAGAGGCTGCCGCGGCAGGTGCTGCAGACCCAACCGAGCATCACAGGCCTGGCCGCCCTCCCTTTTACAGACTTAGTACCTGGACATAAGGTATGGGGCTACAGTGGAATGATTCTCCACATACAGGAGGAAGGAAATGTTCCACGAGGCCCTGTCCTGTGCATGCTTGACTGGACCACGGCGACCAGAATTCCATCCGCAAGGTCCCAGAAGGATGGAGCCCAGGTTGTGAAGCCCAGAGCAGTGCCTTGAAATTCAACGTGAACAGACATCACTGGGGACCGTGTTCAAAGGCACATGCTGCTTAGCTGGTCTAGGATGGAGCCTGGGATCCCGCATCACTAACAAGGTCCCAGGCGATGCTGATGCTGCTGGTTCGAGGACCGCATGCTGAGTGGCAAGATTGTAGATGGAAGGCCTGGCTTCTGGACTCAGACGGGATGGTCTGAACCCCGAGTTTTCCACTTACCAGCTCTGTGGTCGCAGACTAAAGACTTACCCATCTTGACCCTTGAATTCCACGTCTGTGAGACTCACGTGTCCACACCTGCATCTCTGCATCTTGTGTAGAGATTGTGTCAGCACCATATACAAATACCTAGGCTGGAGTCCGACGTGTAATGGGCATTTGGTAAACGGTGACTATTACCATTCTGTGAATTTTCTCCCGATAGGTTCACGTCCTTGGTAGCTGACTGCTCTTAGAGGCCAGTAAAAGGCTTGATTTACACAACCATGTGAATGACAGCATCTCAAACTTACGAACATCACAGTTTCATTTCTCAGCCCCTCACTGCCAAGGGTGGATCCACATGTAAGTGTGAACCCCAAGGCTCTTGGTCAGTAGGAGCCGAATCCCAAGCAGTGGTCTCAGGAGCCCCTGATGAATGCATATCTCCGCTCTCATCCCAATGGGAAAGACACCAAAGAAACAAGATAGATGCCTCCTCGCCACGCAGGAGGTGAGCTGCATTTCACAGGCGCTCCAGGCAGACACTGGAACGTGACCTGCAAATAGGATCTGCAGAGGGCACAGAGCCAGAGGGATGCTGTGGAGTGGAGGGTCCGGGTCCACATTCCAGCATCAGTGTTCTGTCCTGGGGCTGCTTCAGAAAACCTCGTAAGTTATGAGCCTCACTTTCCACATCTGTACAATGAGATGATGAAAATAATGCCTTCGAATTAGACGTGGAATGTGACCTGCTTTGAAAATGGTCAGCCCCCTTGCCTGGGCCCCTCTTGTGCGAGAGGGTTGGAATGTAAGATAAATCAGGACCCTTTCTCCACAGCTAGTTCTGGACCCAAGGATCCAGGAAGTTAGAGGCAGCAGACATTAAAGAAATGTTCATTTGTAAATAAAATACACTGCAGTTTATTTTATGATCAAAAAATTTAGGTCACTAGGAGCCAGCCGGTAGCGCAGTGGTTAAGTTCACACGCTCTGCTTCAGCAGCCCGGGGTTTCACTGATTAGGATCTGGGCATGCACCTAGTGCCACTCCTCAAGCCATGCTGTATCAGCGTCCCACATAAAATGGAGAAGATGGGAACAGATGTTAGCTCAGCGACAATCTTCCTCAAGCAAAAAGAGAAAGATTGGCCACAGATGTTAACTTAGGGCCAATTTTCTTCACCCCCCCAAAAAATTAACTCACCAAGTGTTGAAGGCCCATCTTCCCATCTGGGTTACATTTTGAAGCAGAGTGACTGACACGAGGCAAGTCCCATCTCTGTAGCAAAGGCCATAAGACCTTTCTGCACTGGGCCCCACCGGCTCCTCCCTCACTCCGTCCGCAATAACGCCAAACTCCTGCTGCCCTTTTACACCTCCACGCCTTTTCTCATGCCCCTCCCTTGTCCTTTCGCTCAATCCTCCCCAAACTTCTGCCTCAAAGGCCAGTCAGCCACTTGGTTGCAGCAGAATCTGTCTGGGCGACGTAGGCAGTAAAACAGTGTATCTGAGGATATCAGGGAGCTCCCAGAGTCACCAAGGAGGCTGGAGGAAGCCGCTGGGCAGGTGGGTGGGAATGGAGAGAGCACAGTGCGAAGCACAGCCAGGATCACGGTGCAGAACAGCCTGGGACCACCACCAAGCCCCGGATGCCATCGGTGTGTGGACCGACACTGCCACCCTCTAGGCTGACTCCGCCCCCCACTGCCGCCATTGTCGATCCAGGAAATGAGCTTGTCAACTGCAAGGCCAAGCCCCAGACAGATGTGTCCAGTTGGCGAGTCTGGGGACTTTGCCCTCCTTGCGAGGGAGGTGGAGAGTGGGAAAGTGGGCTTTCCAACTGCTGTGGTGGGATGCAGGGCATGCATTCCAGCAAGACCCACTCAGGGGAAGGGCTCAGCTGCCAGGCAGCCGGAAAGAAGACCGACACTGCAGCTCCTCACCAGCATCATGGTGGTGCCCAAACTCCTCTGATACACTTTTCTCTGTGTGTGTCCCACACACATACACACCGTCCCTGAACTGTGCTCCCAGTACCCCTTGAACTTGATCATACGGTTTTGTATTTTTCTGCCTAGGTTTTTGTGACTGCCTGTGACCGTCGCAGGACAGGCCCCACAAAAGGAGGCCTTGAGGAGCAAACACACACAGCCATTTGTAAAGACAGTTCTCCAGGGATGATCAGTGAGGACGGGGAAGCAGGGCAGGAAGAGGAGGAAGCTGACCGAGGAAGCAGGGGACCTCAGACAGCCGTGAAGCAGAGGCTGGCTTCAGGCTGATCCCAGAGCTGAACTCAGGACGGCAAGCTCTTTGTCAGGATTGTCCCACCCCAAGGCAGGGGGCTGTACCCACACTCCATGCCCAACAGGCGTTGATCAATGGCAGCTGGGGCTGGAGAAGGAAGGCGGACACGTGAACTCCAAGGCACGTACCTGCAAAGCCGCTCCAGGTGCCCCAGCACAAGGAGGGTGGCAGGGGCAAGATATTGAAAGCCCGACACTGACAGCAGCGCTGGTAAAACACGGTCTGGGGCGGGGGAGGAACAGAGCTGACACTGTCTGCTCCCGTGACCCCACAAGCCTGGGAGCCCCCCCAAAAACGTGCCTGTGGCTGACTTGTCCCTCTGTTCCCAGCACCCCACACAGGGAAGAGCTGAGTGGCTGTCCAGAAAATGTCCACAAAGTGCATAAACGCTGGCTAGAGGGGGCATATTGCTTCCGGGCGAAAGGAAGCAACAGGGCCAAGTGCAGACCCAGATGGGAGGCGGGCAGGCGAGGGTCAGGGAGCTCCAACCCGGATTCACAGGCCCTTCGTCATCGTGAAAACCCCGGCCACACTGTCTCTGTCAAAAGAAAGAATTTCACAGAGTTTCCGAGGTCTGGGGAGCCCTGTCGTTAGGAGGGATCCAGTGTGGAGGGAACACTTGTCTAGAGGCGAACACCCTTTGAGTCCCCAGACTCAGCTGGCTCACAACCACCCGTCCCCTTGGGAAGAGGACAGAGCTGGAGCTAATCTAGGTGGCTTCCAGAAGTCACATACAATACCCAAAGGACACGGGTGAGTTATTACGGCCACTCACTCCTCTTCACCTACCAGCAAGTGGAAGGCAGGACCGGACAGGCTCATAGTCCCCTGATGGAGGTGCTTTCACAGGAGAGCCCCCGGAGAATCCATCCAGGCTGACTCTGGAGAGAGGGCTATTTTTAATCCAAGCCTTTGAAGTGGCCAACCTCAGAGAGAGAGCAGAGCCTGCGGGCAACCTGCCTCCCCTACTGTAGGATGAAGAAGCAGGGCGGAGTGACTCAGCCAAGGCTTGATTTGGGATGCTAGAGAGAGCTGGGTCCTTCTAGTCTGAGGCATAGATGGCAGCCCCAGGAATGTGGCAGGCCACCAAGAGAGGGGACCACCCAGTAAGGCCCTCCATAGGTCACACAGCCCAGATCACGTCATCAGCAGGTCAATGTTTAACAGCACCATTGGCCTCTGGATTTTAAGGGCCACTGTGAAGGTTAACTTCATATGTCAACTTGGTTGGGCCCCTGTGCGCACATCTGTGGTCAAACATTATCCTGGATCTTTCTGTGAGGGTGTTTTTGGATGATAGTAACATTTAAACTCTCTGGTGGACTTCGAATAAAGCAAATTGCCCTCCATAGTATAGGTAGGCCTCATCCAATCCATTGGAGGCCAGGATGGAAAAAAAGACTGACCTCCCCTGACCAAAAGGGAATTCTGCAACAGTCTTCGGACCTGAACTGCAACACTGGGTCCTTCCTGGGTCTCCAGCCGGATGGCCCACCCTGCAGATTTATATGTATATGGGGAAGGCCACATGGAGGTGCCCAGAAGGATGGAACCAGGTGGTGTCACAGAGTCCCCACATGTCTGGATAGAGAGCGCTCAGAAAGCAGGCAAACCCTTTCCTATGTGGCTTTGGAGCCAGGTCAAGACTCCCAGCTGGGACCATGTGAATCTCACGGCTGGGAACTAGATGGGTCCTGTCGGGGTCCAGCAGGAGAGCAGGACGGACCCAAAGATCAGATGGGTCCACACGCAGCAGCAGATGTTGACTGGAATGGAACATCTCCTGAAAGGCAGCCCCATCACCCAACAGGATAAGTCACAGTCCCCCAGTGCTGTAGGTCCATCCTGGGAAGAAGATGGGATTGTGAACTGACTGACTTTAACCCGAAGTAACCAAGTTCTACTCAGCAGAATGGGAACTTGATATACATTAGGTCCCATTACGGAAAACTGAAGTTGCGTTTCTTACACAGCTGCCTGAGTTATGAAGATTGTAAATGTCATCATCCTCCAGAGACTGTGTGTCCACACTATCCTGCCCCACCGAGGGGATACTTACCCTCAGAAACCATTTCCTTAAAATGTCCTGATGCAGAGGCCCCAGCTCAGACCAACGGTATCGGCATCTCTAGAGGAAAAAAATTGGTGGGTTGTTTGTTTTTGAGATCTCTGGATTATTCTCAAGTGAGCACAGCTGGAAACTACTTTGGATCTCCCTTGCCTGCCTGCCACGGAATCCCGTGTATAGACGATTTACTGGCTGGACAGACATAAGCAGACGATTGAGGACCCTCCCCTCCTTGCTGGTTTGTTTTCTGTCTTTCTGTGACAGCAAAGTTTCAAATACGGCCATATCGGACTCAAGTCCAGCTATGTTAATTTCGCTTCTTCTAATTTGCCAGAAGTCACACCATTAATGTCCTCCCGTGCTCAGGTTAACCAGTGAGGAAACGACAGCCATTTTGGACGGCCATCCCCTCATTCTGCTGAAACCGAGAAACAACTACGTGGAGAGACTGGACAGAGGTGCCTGGGGGGGTGGGACCGAGGTCCCCGTGTTCGCCCAGCAGCAGAGCCCTGGTTCCTGGCCCCAGGAGGACCCTGCAGGGACCCTGAGCCACAGGGCCAAGTGGAGAAGCCTGAGGGATGCTCAGAGTGTACTGACTCCAACTGTGAGCTTTCCTGACAAATTTCCCAAGCCCTTATTGTGACTTTGTCTTTGGAGACCCAAAAAAGCAGAGAATCTGCTCCACGGGGAAAGTGGAGAAAGTTAGAAGTGGATTAAACTTTTAAACAGAGACTGTTCAAATGGTCACAACCAGGCCAGAGATGTACCAAGAATGGGCTCATTGCTAAAAATGAAATGACTGGGATCCTGGAAAACCATCAAAAGCGGCGTAACCAAGGAACGTCAGGGCGTAAAGGATGAGGCACCCGCCATCCTGGGGTCCGGTGACCACGGCCGAGCCGTCTCTCTTCTCAGGCACGGAGGGAACCAACCGTGAGGGTCACCTCGTGGTGGGGGTGCCGAAACACTACAGCCAAGTTTAAAAGCCGGAGGTTGGGTAACGAGATGTGGCTTCTGCCTTCAAAGCAAGATGAAGAGGCCCGTTAACAGACTTCGCAAGGGGACTGGAAAGGGGATTGTGCTGGATGGAGCAGGAAAGCAGACGGGGTCGCTGCCTCTGCACATGCGAGAGGACTGAGGTTGGCAGGAAGAGCTGGGACGCCGTGGGACTGGCCCTGCCCCCGTGGCCAGAGGCCCCCGTGGCCCCCTCCATCGCGGATTACAGCAAGAGTTTCAGACCCTCCGGCCTCGGCTGGTCCAGTCCCGGGGGCACCTAGCAGAGATGAGGAGGAGGAGGAGGCTTGGGGAGGGCAGGTGTCTATTTATTGCACGGCTGGCTCTGGCCCTGGACGCAGCACTGATGCTCTCGCAAAGGCCCACTGCAGGTGTGTCTCCCCTGTCATTAGGGCCTGGGGGTAACAGCTGGGACGCAGCTAGGCCACAGGCCACTGTGCTTTCCATCATGGCTCCCCGACACCCCGCCCTCGTGAGTGAAGCCTCGTCAGAGGACCCTTTCCCAAGGCTCCCTCCTCCTTCCTATTAGGGCCCTGACTAACAGACACCAACAGCCCCTAGGTCTGCCTTTCCTGGCCATCCTGGGTGTCTGGAAAAAGACAGAGTACGCATTCAATAGAACACAAAAATGGTTCCATCTCAAGAAGTAAGAAACAGAGACAAGAGAAAAAGCCTATAAGAGCCTATGAAATGTGTCTCTAACTTTTTCTCCTTTTTGAGTCACCATTGTA